TGGCGATGTTTGCACATCGCACACACACAAATTAACTATAATATTGAACACACACAAATTAACTATAATATTCAACATACACAAATTAACTATAATATTCAACATACACACATTCACTCTAATATTCAACACACACACACATTCACTCTAATATTCAACACACACAAATTCACTCTAATAGTCAACACACACATTCACTAATATTCAACATGCACACAAACTCACTCTAATATTCAACACACACACAAATTCACTCTAAAATTCAACACACACAAACTCACTCTAATATTCAACACACACAAACTCACTCTAATATTCAACACACACAGACTCACTCTAATATTCAACACACACACAAACTAAATCTAATATTCAACACACACATTCACTCTAATATTCAACACACACACAAACTCACTCTAATATTCAACACACACATTCACTCTAATATTCAACACGCACACAAACTCACTCTAATATTCAACACACACAAATTCACTTTAATATTCAACACACACACAAATTCACTTTTAATATTCAACACACACACAAATTCACTCTAATATTCAACACACACAAATTCACTGTAATATTCACACACACAAATTCACTGTAATATTCAACACACACGCACACAAATTCACTGTAATATTCAACACACACAAAACTCACTGTAATATTCAACACACACGCACACAAATTCACTGTAATATTCACGCACACAAATTCACTGTAATATTCAACACACACGCACATACATTCACTGTAATATTCACACACACAAATTCACTGTAATATTCACGCACACAAATTCACTGTAATATTCACACACACAAACTCACTCCAATATTCAACACACACAAATTCACTGTAATATTCACACACACAAATTCACTGTAATATTCACACACACAAATTCACTGTGACATTCACACACACAAATTCACTGTAATATTCACGCACACAAATTCACTGTAATATTCACACACACACAAATTCACTGTAATATTCACGCACACAAATTCACTGTAACATTCACACACACACAAATTCACTGCAATATTCAACACACACTCGCCCATGCGCCCCCACTGTGTCGGCCGAGACTTCAATGCGGGAGGAATGGAGGGAGCGAGGGAGTCAGAGACCGATGTGGGCGCGCGCCGTGATTCCTGTCCCAGACTCCCCCCGCTGCACTCATCTCGTCGGAACTCTCTCAAGTCTCTCCACGTGTGCCTGCGTGTTGACTCGAATTAGCGACATGTACACAGCGTCTCTCTCTCTCTCTCTGCTTTCATCTCTTCTCGCCCATCTGCCTCGCTCTCTTCACACCGCCTCCCCATCTCCCCCACTCTCTCCCCACGTCTCCCCCATCGCTCTCCTCCATCGCTCTCCCCTCTCATCCCTCTGCGCTGCGTTGGTGGCAGCTCCACAGCCCCGCCCGTTCTTCTCCATAGACTCACGTGATCCATAGACTCACGTGATCCATAGACTTACATAGAGACCCATAGACTTACATAGAGACCCATAGACTCACGTGATCCATAGACTCACGTGATCCATAGACTTACATAGAGACCCATAGACTTACACAGAGACCCATAGACTCACGTGATCCATAGACTTACATAGAGACCCATAGACTCACGTGATCCATAGACTTACACAGAGACTCATAGACTTACACAGAGACCCATAGACTCACGTGATCCATAGACTTACACAGAGACCCATAGACTCACGTGATCCATAGACTTACACAGAGACCCATAGACTCACGTGATCCATAGACTTACACAGTGACCCATAGACTTACACAGAGACCCAGAGACTCACGTGATCCATAGACTTACACAGAGACCCATAGACTTACGTGATCCATAGACTTACATAGAGACCCATAGACTCACGTGACCCATAGACTTACACAGAGACCCATAGACTCACGTGATCCATAGACTTACACAGGGACCCATAGACTTACGTGATCCATAGACTTACATAGAGACCCATAGACTCACGTGACCCATAGACTTACACAGAGACCCATAGACTCACGTGACCCATAGACTTACACAGAGACCCATAGACTCACGTGATCCATAGACTTACACAGAGACCCATAGACTCACGTGATCCACACACTTCTGTGCGTATAATGGAGCAGACATGCAAGCACATGGACAAATGGATAACACTGACAGATAGAGATGCAGACAGATGCAGGCAGACAGGCAGACAACAGGCAGGTAGACAGACAACCTAGCAGAGAGACAGGCAACCTAGCAGACATATGCTGGCAGACAGAGAGACAGGCAGGCAGACAGACAACCTAGCATAGAGACAGGCAACCTAGGGAGACAGGCAGACAGAGAGACAGACAACCTAGCATAGAGACAGGCAACCTAGCATAGAGACAGGCAGACAGAGAGACAGGCAACCTAGCATAGAAACAGGCAACCTAGCATAGAGACAGACAGACAACCTAGCATAGAGACAGGCAGACAGAGAGACAGGCAACCTAGCATAGAGACAGACAACCTAGCATAGAGACAGGCAGACAGAGAGACAGACAACCTAGCATAGAGACAGACAGACAACCTAGCATAGAGACAGAGAGACAAGCGGACTGGCGGATGAGCGGAGAGACGCGGAGACAAGGGGATGGAGCAACTGACAAGGAAGGAGGCGCTTCGTGAGCACTGCACAGACGCCCCGCCGAGTGTCACCCACAGCCTGCATCACCACCCTCGCTCACCCTCACCACGCCCACACTCACCCGCCACACTCACCACACACTCACCCCCACACTCACCCGCACAGACTCACCACACACTCACCCTCCACACTCACCCCCCACACTCACCACACACTCACCCCCACACTCACCCCCCACACTCACCCCCCACACTCACCCCCCACACTCACCCCCCACACTCACCCCCCACACTCACCCCCCACACTCACCCCCCACACTCACCCCCACACTCACCCCCACACTCACCCCCCACACTCACCCCCACACTCACCCCCACACTCACCCCCACACTCACCCCCACACTCACCCCCACACTCACCCCCACACTCACCCCCCACACTCACCCCCACACTCACCCTCCACACTCACCCCCACACTCACCCCCACCACCACCCCCACCACTCACCCCCACCACCACCCCCACACTCACCCACACACTCACCCCCACACTCACCCCCACACTCACCCCCCACACTCACCCCCCACACTCACCCCCACCACCACCCCCACCCACCACCACCCCCCACACCACCCCCGCTGTGACGTGCACGCATTCCTACACTCTGAGAGAATTCCCGGCGGCCGCCTGCAGGAGCGGCCTGCTTCGCCCAGCGCGCAACATCAACACGGCACACAAAGACAAAGGTCCCCCTACACAGACCGCAGGGCCAAGTGCTGTCAGCGACTTCCAGCAACCTCTGAGGGCCGGGCGTGGTGGCGCTGGCCGGGAGTGGTGGTGCTGGCCGGGCGTGGTGGCGCTGGCCGGGCGTGGTGGTGCTGGCCGGGCGTGGTGGTGCTGGCCGGGCGTGGTGGTGCTGGCCGGGCGTGGTGGTGCTGGCCGGGAGTGGTGGTGCTGGCCGGGAGTGGTGGTGCTGGCCAACCCCCCCCACCTCGTGTGGTGCCGGCTGCCGCCACAGCAGCAGGCGCTGCTGCTGCTACTCGCTCAGGAGCCACCCATTGAGTAGTGACGCAGGGATCTGTCACGACGTGACCCCTAACCCCCTCCCTGTCCGCACGCGGACTTGTTACACACCTCCCCCTTCCAGAATCCTATAGAACGGCCGCTATTTAATCCACGCAGAAACCATCAAGGATCAATAATATTCACGTGCCTAAGCAAACAGTCCACCGGCGGACTATCTCACTCATTTGAAGGCCAATGTAGACAAATTATTATTGAGGCTTCACCCCCACCCCCGTTTCCTATGCGCACACTGACAAAATAAATAAACAGAAATAAACAGTAGACCCCCCCCCCCCTCCCATACGCAGGCGAAAGCGTTCGGGTTCACCCCCCACTCCCCACTCCATGCGTGCGGACTGAATGGATGGGCCCTGACAGCCCTTGCCCCAACAGCCTGTTAAGGCTATACGGCGGGGGGGATATTTGTCTTTATGTGTGTGTAGGTGCCTGTGTGTGTGTGCCTGCGTGTGTGTGTGTGGGTGCCTGTGCGCGTGTGTGGGTGCCTGTGCGCGTGTGTGGGTGCCTGTGTGTGTGTGGGTGTGTGTGGGTGTGTGGTGTGTGGGTGACTGTGTGTGTGTGGGTGTGTGCCTGTGGGTGACTGTGTGTGGGTGTGTGTGGGTGCCTGTGGGTGTGGGTGTGTGGTGTGTGGGTGACTGTGTGTGTGTGGTTTGTGGGTGCCTGTGGGTGTGTGTGGGTGTGTGTTGGTGCGTGGTTTGTGGGTGCCTGTGGGTGTGTGGGTGCCTGTGGGTGTGCGTGGGTGCCTGTGGGTGTGGGTTTTTGCCTGTGTGTGCCTGTGGGTGACTGTGTGTGGGTGCCTGTGGGTGACTGTGTGTGGGTGTGTGTGGGTGTGTGGTGTGTGGATGACTGTGTGTGGGTGTGTGCCTGTGGGTGACTGTGTATGGGTGCCTGTGGGTGTGTGGGTGTGTGTGTGGGTGCCTGTGGGTGACTGTGTGTGGGTGTGTGTGTGGGTGCCTGTGGGTGTGTGGGTGCCTGTGGGTGTGTGGGTGTGTGTGGGTGCCTGTGGGTGTGTGGGTGTGTGTGTGGGTGCCTGTGGGTGACTGTGTGTGGGTGTGTGTGGGTGCCTGTGGGTGTGTGTGTGTGCCTGTGGGTGACTGTGTGTGGGTATGTGTGGGTGTGTGGGTGCCTGTGGGTGTGTGGGTGTGGGTGTGTGTGGGTGCCTGTGGGTGTGTGGGTGTGTGTGGGTGCCTGTGGGTGTGTGGTTGTGTGTGGGTGCCTGTGTGTGGGTGCCTGTGGGTGTGTGGGTGTGCGGCAGCTGACCTGCGCGTTCACGCAGGCTATGGAGACCGCCAGGAACAGCGCGATTGCAGAAACAGCAGCCTGCGAACATACAGCAGCAGCAGGGGGTGTGCGGTTACTCACACAGCCTCACTCACACAGCCTCACTCACACACAGCCTCACTCACACACAGCCTCACTCACACACAGCCTCACTCACACTCACACAGCCTCACTCACTCACACACAGCCTCACTCACACTCACACAGCCTCACTCTCACTCACACAGCCTCACTCACACAGCCTCACTCACTCACACACAGCCTCACTCACTCACACACAGCCTCACTCACACTCACACAGCCTCACTCTCACTCACACAGCCTCACTCACACACAGCCTCACTCACACACAGCCTCACTCTCACTCACACAGCCTCACTCACACAAAGCCTCACTCACACTCACACACAGCCTCACTCACACAGCCTCACTCTCACTCACACAGCCTCACTCTCACTCACACAGCCTCACTCTCACTCACACAGCCTCACTCACACACAGCCTCACTCTCACTCACACAGCCTCACTCACACACAGCCTCACTCACACTCACACAGCCTCACTCACTCACACACAGCCTCACTCACACACAGCCTCACTCACACACAGCCTCACTCACACACAGCCTCACTCACACACAGCCTCACTCACACACAGCCTCACTCACACTCACATACAGCCTCATTCTCACTCACACAGCCTCACTCACACACAGCCTCACTCACACACAGCCTCACTCACACACAGCCTCACTCACACACAGCCTCACTCACACTCACACAGCCTCACTCACTCACACACAGCCTCACTCACTCACACACAGCCTCACTCACACTCACACAGCCTCACTCTCACTCACACAGCCTCACTCACACACAGCCTCACTCACACACAGCCTCACTCTCACTCACACAGCCTCACTCACACAAAGCCTCACTCACACTCACACACAGCCTCACTCACACAGTCTCACTCTCACTCACACAGCCTCACTCTCACTCACACAGCCTCACTCTCACTCACACAGCCTCACTCACACACAGCCTCACTCTCACTCACACAGCCTCACTCACACACAGCCTCACTCACACTCACACAGCCTCACTCACTCACACACAGCCTCACTCACACACAGCCTCACTCACACACAGCCTCACTCACACACAGCCTCACTCACACACAGCCTCACTCACACACAGCCTCACTCACACTCACATACAGCCTCATTCTCACTCACACAGCCTCACTCACACACAGCCTCACTCACACACAGCCTCACTCACACACAGCCTCACTCACACACAGCCTCACTCACACACAGCCTCACTCACACACAGCCTCACTCACACACACACACAGCCTCACTCACTCACACACAACCTCACTCACACACAGTCTCACTCACACACAGCCTCACTCACTCACACACAGCCTCACTCACTCACACACAGCCTCACTCACACTCACACAGCCTCACACAGCCTCACTCACACACAGTCTCACTCACACACAGCCTCACTCACACACAGCCTCACTCACACACAGCCTCACTCACACTCACACAGCCTCACTCACACACAGCCTCACTCACACACAGCCTCACTCACACACAGCCTCACTCTCACTCGGACACAGCCTCACTCACACACACACAGCCTCACTCACACACAGACTCACTCTCACACACACAGCCTCACTCTCACACAGCCTCACTCACATTCACACAGCCTCACTCTCACACACACAGCCTCACTCACACACAGCCTCACTCACACACAGCCTCACTCACACACAGCCTCACTCACACACAGCCTCACACACACACACAGCCTCACTCACTCACACACAGCCTCACTCACACACAGTCTCACTCCCACACAGCCTCAGTCACTCACACACAGCCTCACTCACTCACACACAGCCTCACTCACTCACACAGCCTCACTCGCACTCACACAGCCTCACTCACACTCACACAGACTCACTCACACACAACCTCACTCACACACAGTCTCACTCACACACAGCCTCACTCACACACAGCCTCACTCACACACAGCCTCACTCTCACTCACACAGCCTCACACACACACACATCGTGGTCTACACGAGGCACTGTGTGTGTGTAGTCTATCGTGGTCTACAGAGCACTGTGTGTGTGTAGTCTATCGTGGTCTACACGAGGCACTGTGTGTGTGTAGTCTATCGTGGTCTACACAGCACTGTGTGTGTGTAGTCTATCGTGGTCTACACGAGGCACTGTGTGTGTGTAGTCTATCGTGGTCTACACAAGGCACTGTGTGTGTGTAGTCTATCGTGGTCTACACGAGGCACTGTGTGTGTGTAGTCTATCGTGGTCTACACGAGGCACTGTGTGTGTGTAGTCTATCGTGGTCTACAGAGCACTGTGTGTGTGTAGTCTATCGTGATCTACACGAGGCACTGTGGGTGTAGTCTATCGTGGTCTACAGAGCACTGTGTGTGTGTAGTCTATCGTGATCTACACGAGGCACTGTGGGTGTAGTCTATCGTGGTCTACAGAGCACTGTGTGTGTAGTCTATCGTGGTCTACACGAGGCACTGTGTGTAGTCTATCGTGGTCTACAGAGCACTGTGTGTGTGTAGTCTATCGTGGTCTACACGAGGCACTGTGTGTGTAGTCTATCGTGGTCTACACAGCACTGTGTGTGTGTAGTCTATCGTGGTCTATACAAGAGCACTGTGTGTGTGTAGTCTATCGTGGTCTATACGAGGCACTGTGTGTGTGTAGTCTATCGTGGTCTACACGAGGCACTGTGTGTGTAGTCTATCGTGGTCTACACGAGGCACTGTGTGTGTAGTCTATCGTGGTCTACAGAGCACTGTGTGTGTGTGTGCAGCGGCTATCCACTGCTGGATGACGGCCTCCGATTATAATCTACGTGGGGGGGTAATTTGACCATACTTCACCACGCTGGTCGTATCGTCTACAATGGCATCATCACACAGAACAACACACAGCCGCAATATTTGCAGGTTCTAAAAAGAGGACGGTCGGTGTGTGGGAGAGCAAATCCACAACTTTTACAATCTGCCGTACGCGTAACCAATTGTCCACGTTCTGTATTCCGTGACATACCTCACTAATCGGCTGTGTCGGGTGGCGGCGGGTTTCACGACAACGTTTCTATCCGTGCGATCTCACCCAAAAAAAGGCTGCATCGTGGATGACATTGGTCGCTGGTATTCCTACTGCGGGTTAAAAATGTGGCGTGCGGTGTGACATCCACACAACACAACACGCACCACAACTCTCACGTGCACGCGTTCAATTGCAGTGATTCACACTGCCCGGTCAGCACCGGAGTGCAGGACAATGTCCATCCAGCAGTGGATCGGCCACGGCTGATGATGGTGGACGTACGAACCGCGCGGTCCCCAGCGCGTGTTGCTCACACTGTGTAGCAGATCATCGTCATCAGCCGTGGTCTATCCACTGTTGGATGATGACTCCCCGACACGACGCAGCTGTAGTAACACGCAGCTGTGTGACGCTACAGCCGCCGTGCTGATTTAGCAAAATGTGAGCATCGCTCAATGAAGCACGGCCCAGCAAAGGGGTTCTCATCGAGCAGCGGATCGAGCAAGGCGCGCAGAGTGACCAGCACGTCCCGAATCTCCGTGCACGCAGGCGAACATCTCCCACACATCTCCCACACATCTCCTAGACATCTCCCACACATCTCCACGTGTACTATGACACTAACGTGCACACTGAACATCTCCTAGACATCTCCACGTGTACTATGACACTAACGTGCACACTGAACATCTCCTAGACATCTCCACGTGTACTATGACACTGACGTGCACACTGAACATCTCCTAGACATCTCCACGTGTACTATGACACTAACGTGTACACTGAACATCTCCTAGACATCTCCACGTGTACTATGACACTGACGTGCACACTGAACATTTCCTAGACATCTCCACGTGTACTATGACACTAACGTGTATACTGAACATCTCCTAGACATCTCCACGTGTACTATGACACTAACGTGTACACTGAACATCTCCTAGACATCTCCACGTGTACTATGACACTAACGTGCACACTGAACATCTAGACATCTCCACGTGTACTATAACACTAACGTGCACACTGAACATCTCCTAGACATCTCCACGTGTACTATCACACTAACGTGCACACTGAACACCACCTAGACATCTCCACCTGTACTATGACACTGACGTGTACACTGAACATCTCCTAGACATCTCCACGTGTACTATGACACTAACGTGTACACTGAACATCTCCTAGACATCTCCACGTGTACCATGACACTAACGTGCACACTGAACACCACCTAGACATCTCCACGTGTACTATGACACTGACGTGTACACTGAACATCTCCTAGACATCTCCACGTGTACTATGACACTAACGTGTACACTGAACATCTCCTAGACATCTCCACGTGTACTATGACACTGACGTGTACACTGAACATCTAGACATCTCCACGTGTACTATGACACTAACGTGTACACTGAACATCTCCTAGACATCTCCACGTGTACTATAACACTAACGTGCACACTGAACATCTCCTAGACATCTCCACGTGTACTATGACACTGACGTGTACACTGAACATCTAGACATCTCCACGTGTACTATGACACTAACGTGTACACTGAACATCTCCTAGACATCTCCACGTGTACTATAACACTAACGTGCACACTGAACATCTCCTAGACATCTCCACGTGTACTATGACACTAACGTGTACACTGAACATCTCCTAGACATCTCCACGTGTACTATGACACTAACGTGTACACTGAACATCTCCTAGACATCTCCACGTGTACTAGGACACTAACGTGCACACTGAACATCTCCTAGACATCTCCACGTGTACTATGACACTAACGTGTACACTGAACATCTCCTAGACATCTCCACGTGTACTATGACACTAACGTGCACACTGAACATCTCCTAGACATCTCCACGTGTACTATGACACTAACGTGTACACTGAACATCTCCTAGACATCTCCACGTGTACTATGACACTAACGTGCACACTGAACATCTCCTAGACATCTCCACGTGTACTATGACACTAACGTGTACACTGAACATCTCCTAGACATCTCCACGTGTACTATGACACTAACATGTACACTGAACATCTCCTAGACATCTCCACGCGTGCTATGTGACATGTACCAGTGTCTGAGGTAATTGCTGAGTATATAAAATGTAGTAACATCCATCGGTTGTGTGTTTGGGTTAGAGCGCGTCAATATGCACTCACACGTTGTGTCGTTAAACCCTCCACCACCACACGTTGTGTCGTCAGACCCTCCACCACCACCACACGTTGTGTCGTCAGACCCTCCACCACGACACGTTGTGTCGTCAGACCCTCCACCACCACACGTTATGTCGTCAGACCCTCCACCACCACACCACACGTTGTGTCGTTAGACCCTCCACCACACGACACGGACCGTCAATGTGTGCTGGCGAGCCAAGCCACCGCATTTCCAATGCGAGGGCCGTGACGTTCCGCCATAGTGCTGCTTGTAAAACCCTGTTGGTGTGACATCTAGAGTACCACTACCACCACGTCAATGTGTAGTGTCAGTTCTATACCCCCTCTACCCCCCATGCTAATCTGCACTGTGGAATACAACGAGGGGGGGGGGTACTCGCCACTCACCATCGCTTCAGAGATCCGCTGAGTGGGGGCGGGGCAGCAGTCGCGCGCTCAGAGCCGACGTTGTGAGCGGCGGGCGCGCGCGCGCCGCCTTATAAGTAGGCGGCCCCCCCCCCTCACCCCCCCCCTCAGCCCCTCGGTGGCCCCCGCGCAAGGAGCCACCCGGCTCTCTCCCCCACCCCCACCTCGCCCCGAGCTCACGATGCCCATACAAGGCGCGCACACCGCGTCACCGTGGTAACCAAGGCGCCCCAGCGCAAACCCCACCGCCCCCTTGATGCCCATATTAGGAGTGGGTGTGCTAAACCGTTAACTACGCACCGCCCCCCTTGACGCCCATATAAGGAGTGGGGGGCAATAAACCATTAGCACGCTCCGCCCCTTGATGCCCATATAAGGAGTGCGATAAACCATTAATCACGAGTCATTTTATGATTAACACTAAATAACTTTGAGAATGCGGAGAATACCTAACAACACATGTAACACACAACACATGTAACTAACACACAACACATGTAACACACAACACATGTAACACACAACACATGTAACACACAACACATGTAACACACACCACACATCTAACACACAACACATCTACCATACAACACATGTAACACACAACACATCTAACACACAACACATCTAACACACAACACATCTACCATACAACATATCTAACACACAACACATGTAACTAACACACAACACATGTAACACACAACACATGTAACTAACACACAACACATGTAACACACAACACATGTAACTAACACACAACCCATCTAACACACAACACATCTAACACACAACACATGTAACACACAACACATGTAACTAACACACAACACATGTAACTAACACACAACACATGTAACTCACAACACATCTACCATACAACACATCTAATACACAACACATCTACCATACAACACATGTAACACACAACACATCTACCATACAACACATCTAACACACAACACATGTAACTAATACACAACACATGTAACACACAACACATCTACCATACAACACATGTAACACACAACACATGTAACACACAACACATGTAACACACAACACATGTAACACACACAACACATGTAACTCACAACACATCTACCATACAACACATCTAACACACAACACATCTACCATACAACCCATGTAACTAACACACAAACCATGTAACTAACACACAACACATGTAACTAACACACAACCCATGTAACTAACACACAACACATGTAACTAACACACAACCCATGTAACACACAACACATGTAACACACACACAACACATGTAACTCACAACACATCTACCATACAACACATCTAACACACAACACATGTAACTAACACACAACACATCTACCATACAACACATCTAACACACAACACATGTAACTAACACACAACACATCTAACACACAACACATGTAACTAACACACAACACATGTAACACACACAACACATGTAACTCACACACAAATCTACCATACAACAGATCTAACACACAACACATGTAACTAACATACAACACATGTAACTAACACACAACACATGTAACACACACAACCCATGTAACACACAACACATCTACCATACAACCCATGTAACTAACACACAACACATGTAACACACACAACCCATGTAACACACAACACATCTACCATACAACCCATGTAACTAACACACAACCCATGTAACTAACACACAACCCATGTAACTAACACACAACCCATGTAACTCACAACCCAACTAGTTCAACATAAACATGCGTACAACACAAACGCCACACACCGAGACTATACATTCACAAGCTGTTGTGACTTTATTTTTTATACTTAAATTAAGAAACGCCGATCAAATGTACAGCTCCCGGCTACGTCGCCACTGCCGAACGTGGGGGGGGGGTGGGTGGGGGATTGGGTGGGGGGTGGGGGGGTAAGTGGGGGATGGGGGGTGTGGGTGGGGGGTGGTGGTGTGAGTGGGGGGTGGTGAGTGTGGAGTGGGGGCGGGGGAGTGGGTGGTGAGTGTGGAGTGGGGGTGTGAGTGGTGGTGTGGGTGGGGGGTGTGAGTGGTGGTGTGGGGGCGAGGGTGTGAGTGGTGGTGTGGGTGGGGGGTGGTGAGTGGTGGGGGCGGGGGAGTGGGTGGTGAGTGTGGAGTGGGTGGTGAGTGTGGAGTGAGTGTGGAGTGTGGAGTGGGTGGTGAGTGTGGAGTGGGTGGTGAGTGTGGAGTGGGTGGTGAGTGGGTGGTGAGTGTGGAGTGGGTGGTGAGTGTGGAGTGAGTGTGGAGTGTGGAGTGGGTGGTGAGTGTGGAGTGGGTGGTGAGTGTGGAGTGGGTGGTGAGTGGGTGGTGAGTGGTGAGTGGGTGGTGAGTGGTGAGTGGGTGGTGAGTGTGGAGTGGGTGGTGAGTGGGTGGTGAGTGTGGAGTGTGGAGTGGGTGGTGAGTGGGTGGTGAGTGTGTAGTGTGGAGTGGGGGTGGAACAAACTCCGCCCATCCAACTCCACGCTAACAGCTCGTGCACAACAGGGGGCACGAACTGCAGGCAGGGAGGGCGCTCCGCGTGACGCCCTCCACCAAGGGGTCGGGGCAGGGGGGGGCATCATCACAGCTTCCTGGGGGCCTTCTGGGTGAAGTTCAGGAACGAGGAGCCTTCGTTGCTCTCTTCCGTGCCTGGAAAACAAAACCACGAACAGCTCTGGCGGGGACGGCCAGAGATTCCTCCTCCCCGCGTGGCCTTCACAGCAGTGTGGGGCGAGCGCTGTTAGCGAGCGGTATCTACGAGCGGGTGGGCCGCCGCCACGCCCGGCCGCCTTTGTCTCCCCGAGTGGCGACGTTTACCACGCACCGCCACCACGCACTCGTTTGAGGCCGAGCCGACCTAGGGGAGGGCCCAGGAACCGGTTCAATTGTTCGCCACCGTTGTTGATCGTGAGCGGGAATCAAACTCGGGTCGTCGGGTTCTGAGCGCGTGCAGCACAGGCGAGAGGAGCTGCTAACGAGGTGAGAGGCGCCAGGTAACGAGGTGACAGGCGCCAGGTAACGAGGTGAGAGGAGCTGCTAACGAGGTAAGAGGCGCCGAGTAATGAGGTGAGAGGAGCTGCCAACGAGGTGAGAGGCGCCAGGTAACGAGGTGAGAGGAGCTGCTAACGAGGTGAGAGGAGCCGAGTAACGAGGTGAGAAGCGCCGAGTAACGAGGTGAGAGGAGCCGAGTAACGAGGTGAGAGGCGCCGAGTAACGAGGTGAGAGGAGCTAACGAGGTGAGAGGCGCCAGGTAACGAGGTGACAGGCGCCGAGTAACGAGGTGAGAGGCGCCGAGTAACGAGGTAAGAGGCGCCGAGTAACGAGGTGAGAGGAGCCGAGTAACGAGGTGAGAGGCGCCAGGTAACGAGGTGAGAGGGACCGAGTAACGAGGTGCGAGGGACCGAGTAACGAGGTGACTGGCGCCAGGTAATGAGGTGAGAGGGACCGAGTAACGAGGTGAGAGGGACCGAGTAATGAGGTGAGAGGGACCGAGTAACGAGGTGAGAGGGACCGAGTAACGAGGTGAGAGGGACTGAGTAACGAGGTGAGAGGGACCGAGTAACGAGGTGAGAGGGACCGAGTAACGAGGTGAGAGGGACTGAGTAACGAGGTGAGAGGAGCCGAGTAACGAGGTGAGAGGGACTGAGTAACGAGGTGAGAGGGACTGAGTAACGAGGTGAGAGGCGCCAGGTAACGAGGTGAGAGGGACTGAGTAACGAGGTGAGAGGGACTGAGTAACGAGGTGAGAGGGACTGAGTAACGAGGTGAGAGGGACCGAGTAACGAGGTGAGAGGCGCCGGAGTAACGAGGTGAGAGGCACCGAGTAACGAGGTGAGAGGGACTGAGTAACGAGGTGAGAGGCGCCGAGTAACGAGGTGAGAGGCGCCAGGTAACGAGGTGAGAGGCGCCGAGTAACGAGGTGAGAGGGACTGAGTAACGAGGTGAGAGGGACCGAGTAACGAGGCGAGAGGGACTGAGTAACGAGGCGAGAGGGACTGAGTAACGAGGTGAGAGGGACTGAGTAACGAGGTGAGAGGGACTGAGTAACGAGGTGAGAGGGACTGAGTAACGAGGTGAGAGGCGCCAGGTAACGAGGTGAGAGGGACTGAGTAACGAGGTGAGAGGGACTGAGTAACGAGGTGAGAGGGACTGAGTAACGAGGTGAGAGGGACTGAGTAACGAGGTGAGAGGGACTGAGTAACGAGGTGAGAGGGACTGAGTAACGAGGTGAGAGGGACTGAGTAACGAGGAGCCTCACGCTCGCAGTCGTCGTCGCTGTCGCCGTCGTCCTCGTCGTCCTCGTCGTAGTTGTTGTCGCCGCCGCCCCTCGTGAGCAGCAGCTCCGAGGGGCCCGGCCGCAGGACCACCTCAGCTTCTGTGGGGACACGGGGAGACACGGGGAGACACGCGGAGACACGGGGAGACACGGGGAGACACGGGGAGACACGGGGAGACACGGGGAGACGCGGAGAGACACGGGGAGACACGGGGAGACGCGGGGAGACACGGGGAGACACGGGGAGACACAGGGAGACTCGGGGAGACACGGGGAGACACGGGGAGACATGGGGACACACGGGGAGACACGGGGAGACACGGGGAGACACGGGGAGACGCGGGGAGACACGGGGACACGCGGGGAGACACGGGGAGACACGGGGAGACACGGGGAGACACGGGGAGACACGGGGAGACGTGGAGAGACACGGGGAGACACGGGGAGACGCGGGGAGACACGGGGAGACACGGGGAGACACAGGGAGACTCGGGGAGACACGGGGAGACACGGGGAGACATGGGGACACACGGGGAGACACGGGGAGACACGGGGAGACACGGGGAGACGCGGGGAGACGCGGGGAGACACGGGGAGACACGGGGAGACACGGGGAGACACGCGGGGAGACACGGGGAGACACGGGGACACACGGGGAGACACAGGGAGGCACGGGGAGACACGGGGAGACACGGGGAGACACAGGGAGGCACGGGGAGACACGGGGAGACACGGGGAGACACGGGGAGGCACGGGGAGACACGGGGAGACACGGGGAGACACGGGGAGACGCGGGGAGACACGGGGAGACACGGGGAGGCACGGGGAGACACGGGGAGACACGGGGAGACACACGGGGAGACACAGAGAGACGCGGGGAGACACGGGGAGACACGGGGACACACGGGGAGACACGGGGAGACACGGGGAGACACGAGGAGACACGGGGAGACACGGGGAGGCACGCGGAGACACAGGGAGACACGGGGACACACGGGGAGGCACGCGGAGACACGGGAAGACACGGGGACACACGGGGAGACACGGGGACACGCGGGGAGACACGGGGACACGCGGAGAGACACGGGGACACGCGGGGAGACACGGGGAGACGCGGGGAGACACGGGGAGACACGGGGACACGCGGGGAGACACGGGGACACGCGGGGAGACACGGGGACACGCGGGGAGACACGCGGGGACACGTGGGGAGACACGCACGGGGAGACACGTGGTTAGGGGACACACGTGGTTAGGGGAGACACGAGATATGATACTCAAGTTTCAATTTGCAGTTGTGTAGCCAGCTGCGAACTCAAGAGAGAGCAGGATACCAGTCTCACTTGCAAGAGCGAGATGGTGAGTGGGTGAGCGAGATGGTGAGTGGGTGAGCGAGATGGTGAGTGGGTGAGTGAGATGGTGAGCGGGTGAGCGAGATGGTGAGCGGGTGAGTGAGATGGTGAGTGGGTGAGCGAGATGGTGAGTGGGTGAGCGAGATGGTGAGTGGGTGAGTGAGATGGTGAGTGGGTGAGTGAGATGGTGAGTAGGTGAGTGAGATGGTGAGTGGGTGAGTGAGATGGTGAGCGGGTGAGTGAGATGGTGAGTAGGTGAGTGAGATGGTGAGTGGGTGAGTGAGATGGTGAGCGGGTGAGTGAGATGGTGAGTAGGTGAGCGAGATGGTGAGTGGGTGAGTGAGATGGTGAGCGGGTGAGTGAGATGGTGAGTAGGTGAGTGAGATGGTGAGTGGGTGAGTGAGATGGTGAGTGGGTGAGCGAGATGGTGAGTGGGTGAGTGAGATGGTGAGTGGGTGAGCGAGATGGTGAGTGGGTGAGCGAGATGGTGAGTGGGTGAGTGAGATGGTGAGTGGGTGAGATGGTGAGTGGGTGAGTGAGATGGTGAGTGGGTGAGTGAGATGGTGAGTGGGTGAGTGAGATGGTGAGTGGGTGAGTGAGATGGTGAGCGGGTGAGTGAGATGGTGAGTAGGTGAGTGAGATGGTGAGTGGGTGAGTGAGATGGTGAGTGGGTGAGCGAGATGGTGAGTGGGTGAGTGAGATGGTGAGTGGGTGAGCGAGATGGTGAGTGGGTGAGCGAGATGGTGAGTGGGTGAGTGAGATGGTGAGCGGGTGAGTGAGATGGTGAGCGGGTGAGTGAGATGGTGAGTGGGTGAGTGAGATGGTGAGTGGGTGAGTGAGATGGTGAGTGGGTGAGTGAGATGGTGAGTGGGTGAGTGAGACGGTGAGCGAGATGGTGAGTGGGTGAGCGAGATGGTGAGTGGGTGAGTGAGATGGTGAGTGGGTGAGCGAGATGGTGAGTGGGTGAGTGAGATGGTGAGTGGGTGAGCGAGATGGTGAGTGGGTGAGCGAGATGGTGAGCAGGTGAGTGAGATGGTGAGTGGGTGAGTGAAATGGTGAGTGGGTGAGTGAGATGGTGAGTGGGTGAGTGAGATGGTGAGTGGGTGAGTGAGATGGTGAGTGGGTGAGTGAGATGGTGAGTGGGTGAGTGAGACGGTGAGCGAGATGGTGAGTGGGTGAGCGAGATGGTGAGCGAGTGAACCGGTAAATGAACGACTGCGACGCCGAGTGGGTGAGAGACGGTGAGTAAAGTTTATGTTGTGTAACCAGAATAGATGAGTCTCTTTTGCAGCACACGCACAACGTCAAGTTACCGAGACGTTGTGCGGACGTAGGGCGACTGCCACTGCATCGATAAAAGATCAAAGACAAAGATCCCCCGTATAGCCTCAACAGACTGAAGGGGCAAGTGCTGTTAGTGAGCACCTATGAAGGCCGGAACGGCGCACAAGGGGGTGGGTGGCCAGCACCACGCCCGGCCGCCTTTGTCTCCCCAGTGGCGATGTTTACACACCGCACCAGGTACTCATTTGAGGCTGAGTCGACCTAGGGGAGGCCCAGGACCGGTTCAAATATTCCTCACCGGTGTTGGCCGTGACCGGTTCCCGCTCACGGCCAACACCGGGTTCGTAGCGCAGCGTAGCGCTAACCGCTGCACCACCGCTCCCCACGAGCGGTGGTGTAGCATCGACACTCACTCACACACACACTCGCTCGTGTGTGTGTGTGAGTGTGCGTGTACCTCGTGTGCCAGTGCCGGCCTTCGTAGGCGCTGCTACTCGCTACTAGCAGCACTAGCCCCAACAGTCTGTTGAGGCTACACGGGGGATCTTCGCACGTCGAGAGAGGTGGGGTGCCGCGGTTAGCGACACCGCGCTTCGAAAGCGGACGACCCGAGTTCGACCCCCGCTCACGTCAGTCATGAAATATCCGAGCCGGTGCTGGGCCTCCCCCCCCCCCCTAGGTCGACTCAGCCTTAAATGACAAAAGGGGCGGGCCGGGCAGCGGCGTGGCACCGTCCACGCCTCCCCCACCCCTCGTACGCAGCTACCTTCTTCGAAGGTGCCACCGCTGCTCGCCAACAGCTTTGTCTCGTCGTCGTCATCGTCGTCGTCATCGTCATCGTCATCGTCGTTGTTGTTGTTTACGCACCGCTCACGGTGCCCATGTGCACCGCGCCCAGGTCCTTGTGCAGCCGAGTCAGCTGCTCCTGCTGACGTCTGGCGGCGTCCTCGTGCTGGCCGAGTTCACAACCGCGGAATCGCGAGAATCCCCATTTAGACAGCAGCAGCAGCAGCAGCAGCAGGAGCAGGTGGAATCCGATGAGCTATAAAGCTCTTTGTTTCACAGGTGTACAGTTAAGGGCACGGGGTCTCACAGCAAGCTACACCAGCAACAAACCACGTAAACAACACGGAGTGCGAAGTAGGGGAGATGGTAATCAACTCGCTGGAAATGAATACGTAATGAATACATTCATTATACAAGTACGATTTATCAAGAAAACAACAACAACACAGTCCCAGGCCACAGCAAGACAACACCACACAACAGTTGTAGTAGTCCCGCAATAAGATGGCACGTTACCATTGAACGATCGGTACCACACAGCGGGTAACGATCAAAAGTTCCAAAACACACAGAGACAAAGGTCCCCCCGTGTAGCCTTCAAGAGGCTGCCGGGGCAAGTGCGACAGCGGCGAGCGGCACCTTTGAAGACCGGCGGCACGCACCTACACAAATATATACACGACGCGTTCACAGAGACTCACACACACACACCTACGGAGTGTCACAGAGACCGGGAGACTGCTGGGCACTGCTTCCAGACGCAGGGAGATGTGGGGGGCGTGGGGGGAGTGGGGGGAGTGGGGGGCGTGGAGGGAGTGGGGGAGTGGGGGGAGTGGGGGGAGTGGAGGGAGTGGGGGGAGTGGGGGAGCGTGGAGGGAGTGGGGGGAGTGGGGGGGGTGGGGGGAGTGGGGGGGCGTGGAGGGAGTGGGGGAGTGGAGGGCGTGGAGGGAGTGGGGGGAGTGGGGGGGGTGGGGGGAGTGGGGGGAGTGGGGGGAGTGGGGGAGTGGAGGGCGTGGAGGGAGTGGGGGAGTGGAGGGTGTGGAGGGAGTGGGGGGAGTGGGGGGCGTGGGGGGAGTGGGGGGAGTGGGGGGGCGTGGAGGGAGTGGGGGGAGTGGGGGGAGTGGGGGGAGTGGGGGGGCGTGGAGGGAGTGGGGGGAGTGGGGGGAGTGGGAGGGAGTGGGGGGAGTGGGGAAGCGTGGAGAGAGTGGGGGGAGTGGGGGGGAGTGAGGGGGCGTGGAGGGAGTGGGGGAGCGGGGGGAGTGTAGGAGCGTGGAGGGAGTGGGGGGGAGAGGAGGGAGTGGGGGGAGTGGGGGGGCGTGGAGGGAGTGGGGGGAGTGGGGGGAGTGGGGGGCGTGGAGGGAGTGGAGGGAGTGGGGAGAGTGAGAGGGAGTGGGGGGAGTGGGAGGGAGTGGGGGGGAGTGGGGGAGCGTGGAGGGAGTGGGGGGAGTGGAGGGAGTGGGGGGAGTGGGGGGAGTGGGGGAGTGGGGGGGCGTGGAGGGAGTGGGGGGAGTGGGGGGAGTGGGGGGAGTGGGGGGGCGTGGAGGGAGTGGGGGGAGTGGGGGGAGTGGGAGGGAGTGGGGGGAGTGGGGAAGCGTGGAGAGAGTGGGGGGAGTGGGGGGAGTGAGGGGGCGTGGAGGGAGTGGGGGAGCGGGGGGAGTGTAGGAGCGTGGAGGGAGTGGGGGGGAGAGGAGGGAGTGGGGGGAGTGGGGGGGCGTGGAGGGAGTGGGGGGAGTGGGGGGAGTGGGGGGCGTGGAGGGAGTGGAGGGAGTGGGGAGAGTGAGAGGGAGTGGGGGGAGTGGGAGGGAGTGGGGGGGAGTGGGGGAGCGTGGAGGGAGTGGGGGGAGTGGAGGGAGTGGGGGGAGTGGGGGGAGTGGGGGGAGTGGGGGGGCGTGGAGGGAGTGGGGGAGTGGGGGGAGTGGGGGGAGTGGGGGGCGTGGAGGGAGTGGAGGGAGTGGGGAGAGTGGGAGGGAGTGGGGGGGAGTGGGGGAGCGTGGAGGGAGTGGGGGGAGTGGGGGAGTGGGGGGTAGTGGGGGGGAGTGGGGGAGCGTGGAGGGAGTGGGGGGAGTGGGGGGGAGTGGGGGGGAGTGGGGGAGCGTGAGGGGAGCGTGAGGGGAGTGGAGGGAGTGGAGAGAGTGGGGGGGAGTGGGGGGAGTGGGGGGAGTGGGGGGGTGGTTGTCTCACCTTGATCTGCTTGAGGCGTTCGTACTCGGGCCGATATTCCCTGCCAAGCGAGCAGCACACAGAGCCCACTTCAACACAACAACACAACAACAACACAACAACAACACAACAACAACACCCCACGTCCCACAGCTCCCTCCAACACTCACTGCGCGCGCGTGTGCGAGTGTGTGTACACATGCACACGTGTATGTACGAGTGTGTTTGAGGGTGCGCGTGTGTGCGTGCGTGTGCACGAGTGTGCATGCATGTGCGAGCGTGCGTGCGTGTGCACGCACACTCTGTCCGTCTGCTACAGCAGAGGTGTAGGGAATTCCAACAAGACCTACATCTCTGCTTTATTGACCTGGTCAAGGCCTAAGATACCATCAGTAGGCCTGGGCTCTGGGTTGTTCTTCGTGCTTTCGGAGTTCCTGACCCGCTGCTCACGATCATTAAGGACCTTCATTATGGTGAGCGGGCCCGGGTAAAACTACGTGGCCGGGAGTCGAAGTCATTCCCTGTACACCTTGGGGTGCGACAGGGATGTCCTCTGGCTCCCACATTATTTAACATATTTTTCGACCACGTAGTTCGTGAAGCCTTTGATGGCTGTACCAGAGGAATTTCCATCTGGTACAGGTACAATGGGAGGCTGATCGATGCCCGGGTGCGGTCAAGGGATGGCTCCCTATTGGTCAACCACGTTATGTATGCCGATGATTTGGTAATTGACGCTCACTCAGAGGAGGAGTTGGAGGCGCTGCTGCTGAAACTGGAGTGTGCCACTAAGAGATGGGGCCTTACCATCAGCCCCACCAAAACTAAGCACCTGCCTGGGTATTTTGTACCATGAGGCACTCCACCCCCACAACTCCCAATCGGTAATGTGGCAGTTGTGAAGAGAGTGGAGAGTTTCCCATACCTGGGCAGTGTGCTTATGACCGGCTCCAGTTTAACAGCAGAGGTCTCACTCCGAATCAGTCGAGCGGCATTATCTTTTAATCGGTTGCGTAACGCTGTGTGGAAGATACCTGGTCTGTCGCTCCGCACGAAGCTTCAGGTATTCTCGGCCACGGTCATTCCCTCCCTTCTCTACGCTTGCGAAACGTGGAACATCTTCGCCGATTGGAAACATTTAGGCTGGCCTGCCTACGATCCATCCTCCGGCAGGCAAGGCTGCGTTGGCTGGGTCATGTATCCCGAATGCCCAGCCACCGCATGCCGAAACAGCTTTTGTTTGGCCGGATAGAGGGGGCTAAGCGGGCGCGGCACGGGCTAGAGAAGAGATGGAGTGATGTGGTACAGGAGGACGTGGAGCTGAGTGGACTTGCCAATGACTGGTACCAGCGGTGTCAAGATCAGCCTCTGTGGAGGAGGCTCGTGAAGGACGCTACTGGGCAGTTGGAGGTAGTCGCCCTCCAACAACAACGGAGGGCGGAGGAGCGACGCTCACAGCACAGCAGGTTGGCACAGTAGGGGGCACAGGTGGTGCATCAGCCAGTCATCTCGGTCAGTCGACCCGTGGAACCTGGGTCTGCCCCGTGACCTGTCAGCGGGCGTTCGACACTTCACGTGGCCTCAAGGTGCACATGGCCTGGCACAAGCGTCGTGGTGACGTCACCGCCCCTTAGTGGCAAATGGCGGATGTGAGTGTGCGTGCGTGTGCACGAGTGTGCGTGTGCGAGTGTACGTGCGTGTGCGAGTGTATGTGCGTGCGTGTGCGAGTGTACGTGCGTGTGCGTGTGCACGTGTGCATGTGCGAGTGTACGTGCGTGAGTGTGCACGAGTGTGCGAGTGTACGTGCGTGTGTGTGCGTGCGTAAGTGTGCGTGTGTGCGTGTGTGCGCGTGGGAGTGTGTGCGTGTGCGAGTGTACGTGTGTGCGTGCAAGTGTGTGCGCGTGTGTGCGTGCAAGTGTGTGCGTGCGAGTGTACGTGTGTGTGCGTGTGTGTGTGTGCGTGTGTGTGTGTGCGTGTGTGTGCGTGTGTGTGCGTGTGTGTGCGTGTGCGGGTGTACAGTGAGGGAAAGAAGTATTTGATCCCCTGCTGATTTTGTACGTTTGCCCACTGACAAAGAAATGATCAGTCTATAATTTTAATGGTAGGTTTATTTGAACAGTGAGAGACAGAATAACAACAACAAAATGCAGAAAAAACGCATGTCAAAAATGTTATAAATTGATTTGCATTTTAATGAGGGAAATAAGTATTTGACCCCCTCTCAATCAGAAAGATTTCTGGCTCCCAGGTGTCTTTTATACGCATGGGCGGAGCCAGGATTTTCAGCCCGGGGTGACATTCAACAAATTTTAATTTCAAGAATGATTAGAGAGTCAGGCTGTTGAACTAGACGCCATCGGTTGGCGACACACTCTGACAATGCAGTTGCACGGAGTTTGCCAGACCGAGTGTCGTATACTTATACGCAGAATGTTTCAGATTTTCGATTTTTTATTTTTTTTAGGGGGTGACAATTGTCTACCGTGTCACCCCCTGGCTCCGCCCCTGTTTATTACAGGTAACGAGCTGAGATTAGGCACACACTCTTAAAGGGAGTGCTCCTAATCTCAGCTTGTTACCTGTATAAAAGACACCTGTCCACAGATGCAATCAATCAGATTCCAAACTCTCCACCATGGCCAAGACCAAAGAGCTCTCCAAGGATGTCAGGGACAAGATTTTAGACCTACACAAGGCTGGAATGGGCTACAAGACCATTGCCAAGCAGCTTGGTGAGAAGGTGACAACAGTTGGTGCGATTATTCGCAAATGGAAGAAACACAAAATAACTGTCAATCTCCCTCGGCCTGGGGCTCCATGCAAGATCTCACCTCGTGGAGTTGCAATGATCATGAGAACGGTGAGGAATCAGCCCAGAACTACACGGGAAGATCTTGTCAATGATCTCAAGGCAGCTGGGTCCAATGTCACCAAGAAAACAATTGGTAACACACTATGCCGTGAAGGACTGAAATCCTGCAGCGCCCGCAAGGTCCCCCTGCTCAAGAAAGCACATATACATGCCCGTCTGAAGTTTGCCAATGAACATCTGAATGATTCAGAGGAAAACTGGGTGAAAGTGTTGTGGTCAGATGAGACCAAAATGGAGCTCTTTGGCATCAACTCAACTCGCCGTGTTCGGAGGAGGAGGAATGCTGCCTATGACCCCAAGAACACCATCCCCACCGTCAAACATGGAGGTGGAAACATTACGCTTTGGGGGTGGTTTTCTTCTAAGGGGACAGGACAACTTCACCGCATCAAAGGGACGATGGAGGGGGCCATGTACCGTCAAATCTTGGGTGAGATCCTCCTTCCCTCAGCCAGGGCATTGAAAATGGGTCGTGGACAGGTATTCCAGCATGACAATGACCCAAAACACACGGCCAAGGCAACAAAGGAGTGGCTCAAGAAGAAGCACATTAAGGTCCTGGAGTGGCCTAGCCAGTCTCCAGACCATAATCCCATAGAAAATCTGTGGAGGGAGCTGAAGGTTCGAGTTGCCAAACGTCAGCCTCGACCTTAATGACTTGGAGAAGATCTGCAAAGAGGAGTGGGACAAAATCCCTCCTGAAATGTGTGCAACCCTGGTGGCCAACTACAAGAAACGTCTGACCTCTGTGATTGCCAACAAGGGTGTTGCCACCAAGTACTAAGTCATGTTTTGCAGAGGGTTCAAATACTTATTTCCCTCATTAAAATGAAAATCAATTTATAACATTTTTGACATGCGTTTTTCTGGATTTTTTGTTGTTATTCTGTCTCTCACTGTTCAAATAAACCTATCATTAAAATTATAGACTGATCATTTCTTTGTCAGTGGGCAAACGTACAAAATCAGCAGGGGATCAAATACTTTTTTCCCTCACTGTACGTGTGTGCGTGCGTGTGTGTGTGTGTGCACCTGCCTGGGTATTTTGTACCATCGGACACTCCACCCCCACAACTCCCAATCGGTGATGGGGCAGTTGTGGAGAGAGTGGAGAGTTTCCCATACCTGGGCAGTGTGCTTATGACCGGCTTCAGTTTAACAGCAGAGGTCTCACTCCGAATCAGTCGAGCGGCAACATCTTTTCATCGGTTGCGTAACGCTGTGTGGAATCTACCTGGTCTGTCGCTCCACACTATGCTTCAGGTCTTCTCGGCCAAGGTCATTCCCTCCCTTCTCTACGCTTGCGAAACGTGGACCCCCTTAATGGAACATCTTCGCCGGTTGGAGACATTTAGGCTGGCTTGCCTACGATCCATCCTGGGTTTAACCAGGCTGGATTGTGTGAGGAGCTCACATATCCTTGAAAGATCTGGGCAAGGTCCCATCGGTGAGCTCCTCCGGCAGGCAAGGCTGCGTTGGCTGGGTCATGTAGCCCGCATGCCCAGCCACCGCATGCCGAAACAGCTTTTGTTTGGCCGGATTGAGGGGGCTAAGCGGGCGCGGCACGGGCTAGAGAAGAGATGGAGTGATGTGGTACAGGAGGACGTGGAGCTGAGTGGACTTGCCGATGACTGGTACCAGCGGTGTCAAGATCGGCCTCTGTGGAGGAGGCTCGTGAAGGATGCTACTGGGCAGTTGGAGGCAGTCGCCCTCCAACAACAACGGAGGGCGGAGGAGCGACGCTCACAACAGCGAGCGGAGCGCCGGGTGGCTAAAGCACAGCAGGTTGGCACAGTAGGGGGCACAGGTGGTGCATCAGCCAGTCATCTCAGTCAGTCGACCCGTGGCACCTGGGTCTGCCCCGTGACCTCCTGCCAGCGGGCGTTCGACACTTCACGTGGCCTCAGGGTGCACATAGCCTGGCACAAGCGTCGTGGTGACGTCACCGCCACTTAGTGGCGAATGGCGGTTGTTGTTGTTGTTGTGTGTGCATACGTGTGTGTGAGCGTGTGTGTGCGTACGTGTGTGTGTGCGTGTGTGCGTATGTGCATGTGTGCGTATGTGTGTGTGAGCGTGTGTGTGCGTACGTGCGTGTGTGTGTGCGTGTGTGTGTGTGAGTGCGTGTGTGCGTACGTGTGTGTGAGCGTGTGTGTGAGTGCGTGCGTGTGTGTGTGCGTGTGTGCGTGTGTGCGTACCTCGCGTACTCCTCCTTCGCTTTCTCCACGGCCTCAAACAGCTCCACCATCCCAGCGCCGGTCACCGCAGAGACGCCCACCACCTGCGGGGTCACGACACGGGGTCACGACACGGGGTCACGACACGGGGTCACGACACGGGGTCACGACACGGGGTCACGACACGGGGTCACGACATAGCCACACACACAACACAGAATACAAAGGTCTCCCGTATAGCTCTTAACATGCTGTTAGCGAGCAGCAGCACCTGTGAAGGCCGGCACTGTGGCACACGAGGGGGGTGGGTGGCCAGCACCACGCCCGGCCGCCTTTGTCTCTCCAGCGGCGATGTTTACTACGCACCGCCACACCGGGTACTCTGCTGAGGCCGAGTTGACCTCGGGGAGGGGGCCTAGGACGGGTTCAGATAAACAAATATTGGAGGCACCAAAGGCAAAGGTCCCCCGCGTAGCCTACGCAGGCTGTCGGGGAAAGCGACACGGCCCGGCGTAGTCCACACCGGCGCTGGGGAGACAAAGACGGCCGGGCGCCGGGCCGACCACCCCCCCCCCCGCCCCCCCGTGCTGCCGCTCCTCGCTAACAGCGCTAGCCCCGACGGTCGGCAGAGGCTGCACGGGGGATCGTTGCGTCGTCTGTGCCGATGACCGCGCCACGAACACGGCAGAGATCCGAGTTGGATTTCCGCTCACGGCAAACAAACGGCGACGGCGGCGGATATCTGAACCGGTCCTGGGCCTCCCCTGGGTGGACTCGGCCTTAAATTAGTGGTGGGTACGAGCGTGTGTAAAACATCAGCGCTGGGGAGATACAAAGGCGGCCGGGCGGGCGGGGGCAGCTCGCCTGGTAGACAGGAGGAGGTGGTGACTATTTGGAGTTTGCGTGTCTCTCTCTGTCTCTCTCTGTCTCTCTCTGTCTCTCTCTGTCTCTCTCTCTGTCTCTCTCTCTGTCTCTGTCTCTCTCTGTCTCTCTGTCTCTCTCTGTCTCTCTCTGTCTCTCTCTGTCTCTCTCTGTCTCTCTGTCTCTCTCTCTCCCCATTGTCGTCGTTGGACGACAGCGGCGATGGGCCGCACAGCTCGGTTTGGGGCCTGACACCTGGTGAATGTTAAAAAATAAAAAAGTTTGCTTTACAAATAAGTCGACGGGACGCGGCCGCTCCGCTGCGGCCCTCGCGGGCGCCGACGGCGCCTCGGCCCGACGGAGGGAGGCTACGTGGGGGGAGGCTACCTGGTGGAGGCTACCTGGTGGAGGCTACGTGGGGCGTGGTGGAGGCTACCTGGTGGAGGCTACGTGGTGGAGGCTACGTGGGGGAGGCTACGTGGGGGGAGGCTACCTGGTGGAGGCTACCTGGTGGAGGCTACGTGGGGCGTGGTGGAGGCTACCTGGTGGAGGCTACGTGGTGGAGGCTACGTGGGGGAGGCTACGTGGGGGGAGGCTACCTGGTGGAGGCTACCTGGTGGAGGCTACGTGGGGCGTGGTGGAGGCTACCTGGTGGAGGCTACGTGGTGGAGGCTACCTGGTGGAGGCTACCTGGTGGAGGCTACCTGGTGGAGGCTACCTGGTGGAGGCTACCTGGTGGAGGCTACGTGGGGGGAGGCTACGTGGGGGAGGCTACGTGGTGGAGGCTACGTGGGGGAGGCTACGTGGTGGAGGCTAAGTGGGGGAGGCTAAGTGGGGGGAGGCTACCTGGGGGAGGCTACGTGGGGGGAGGCTACGTGGGGGGAGGCTACGTGGGGGGAGGCTACCTGGTGGAGGCTACGTGGGGCGTGGTGGAGGCTACGTGGTGGAGGCTACGTGGGGGAGGCTACGTGGGGGGAGGCTACGTGGGGGGAGGCTACCTGGTGGAGGCTACCTGGTGGAGGCTACGTGGGGCGTGGTGGAGGCTACCTGGTGGAGGCTACGTGGTGGAGGCTACCTGGTGGAGGCTACCTGGTGGAGGCTACCTGGTGGAGGCTACCTGGTGGAGGCTACGTGGGGGGAGGCTACGTGGGGGAGGCTACGTGGTGGAGGCTACGTGGGGGAGGCTACGTGGTGGAGGCTAAGTGGGGGAGGCTAAGTGGGGGGAGGCTACCTGGGGGAGGCTACGTGGGGGGAGGCTACGTGGGGGGAGGCTACGTGGGGCGTGGTGGAGGCTACGTGGTGGAGGCTACGTGGTGGAGGCTACGTGGGGGAGGCTACGTGGGGGAGGCTACGTGGGGCGTGGGGGAGGCTACCTGGTGGAGGCTACGTGGTGGAGGCTACGTGGTGGAGGCTACGTGGGGGAGGCTACGTGGTGGAGGCTACGTGGGGGAGGCTACGTGGGGGAGGCTAAGTGGGGGAGGCTACGTGGTGGAGGCTACGTGGTGGAGGCTACGTGGTGGAGGCTACGTGGGGGAGGCTACGTGGTGGAGGCTACGTGGGGGAGGCTACGTGGGGCGTGGGGGAGGCTACCTGGTGGAGGCTACGTGGTGGAGGCTACGTGGGGAAGGCTAAGTGGGGGAGGCTACGTGGTGGAGGCTACGTGGGGGAGGCTACGTGGGGGGAGGCTACGTGGGGGGAGGCTACGTGGGGGAGGCTAAGTGGGGGAGGCTACGTGGTGGAGGCTACGTGGGGGGAGGCTACGTGGGGGGAGGCTACCTGGTGGAGGCTACCTGGTGGAGGCTACCTGGTGGAGGCTACGTGGGGGAGGCTACGTGGGGGAGGCTACGTGGGGGAGGCTACGTGGGGGAGGCTACGTGGGGGAGGCTACGTGGGGGAGGCTACGTGGGGGAGGCTACGTGGGGGAGGCTACGTGGGGGAGGCTACGTGGTGGAGGCTACGTGGGGGAGGCTACGTGGGGGAGGCTACATGGGGGAGGCTACGTGGGGGGAGGCTACGTGGGGGAGGCTACGTGGTGGAGGCTACGTGGGGGGAGGCTACGTGGTGAAGGCTACGTGGGGGGAGGCTGCGTGGTGGAGGCTACGTGGTGGAGGCTACGTGGTGGAGGCTACGTGGTGGAGGCTACCTGGTGGAGGCTACGTGGTGGAGGCTACCTGGTGGAGGCTACGTGGGGGGAGGCTGTGTGCATGCGGCGTACTCGCAGGTCGACGTAGAAGCTGTCGAGCACCAGGCTGAGGGAGCGGCTGAGGTTGCTGCTGTAGGAGGAGTCCTGCTCCAGCGCCTCGTGGAACAACTCCAGGTCCTGCATCCACTCCAGCGCAAACTCGTGGGACACGATGTCCGTCTGCGCGCGGACACGGGGGACACGTGGTACACGATGGGGAACACGTGGTACACGACATCACACACACATTACACACACAATGGCTGTAGCGTGTGGAGCGTGTGCGTAACAGGTAACGCATGTGTGTTGTGTGTGGGTAGCATGTAACTTGTGTGTAGCATGTGCTTAGTGTGTAACTTGTGTGTAGCATGTGCTTAGCGTGTAACGCATGTGTGTAGCGCGTGTGTATCGTGTAACACATGTGTGTAGCGCGTGCATAGCGTGTAGCGTGTGCGTAGCGTGTGCGTAGCGTGTAACACGTGTGCGTAGCGTGTGCGTAGCGTGTACGTAGCGTGTAACACGTGTGTGTAGCGTGTGTGTATCGTGTAACACGTGTGTGTAGTATGTGCGTAGTGTGTAGCGTGTGCGTAGCGTGTAGCGTGTGCGTAGCGTGTAGCGTGTGCGTAGCGTGTAACACGTGTGTAGCGTGTGCGTATCATGTAACACGTGTGTGTAGTGTGTGCATAGCGTGTAGCGTGTGTGTAGCGTGTGCGTAGCGTGTGCGATGTCACTCACCTTGTTCATCACCACAATGAAGGGGAGCTTAGTTTTGTACAGGATGCTGCAACATCGACAACATCAACACCAACAACACCAACAACACCATCAACACCATCAACACGACCAACACGACCAACACCACCAACATCAACACCATCAACAACATCAACACCATCAACACCATCAACACGACCAACACGATCAACATCAACACCATCAACACCATCAACACCATCAACACCAACAACACCATCAACAACATCAACACCAACAACACCATCAACACCATCAACATCAACACCATCAACATCAACACCATCAACACGACCGACACCATCAACATCAACACCATCAACACGATCAACATCAACACCATCAACACCATCAACACCAACATCATCAACATCGTTATCATCACAGCCTTACCGACACGCCGGTGTGCTGTACTAGTGACGAATTGGCCACGTTCTGTTAAGGTGACAACCCTCACTAGTTGGCTGTGTCGGGTGGTGGCGGGTGTAACGACACAACAACGTTTATATATTGACGTGGCGATCCGTGTTATGGATAGTGAGGAAATATCTCGCAAAACAGGGCAAACGGTCAAAATATCGACGTTCATTCATTCACGCACTGAGGTCTCAGAACCTCGTCGGGTCAAGCAAGGGGGGGGAGGGGGGTAAAACCGGCTGAAACGAAATTCAACGAGGCGGGGAACAGCGGCGGTCGGCAAACTCGAGGGCGGGAAGAACCACCGCGGGCGCAGAGCGGCGGGTGAGCGAGGCCGGCCCCACCTGCATGCGTAGAGCATGTTGGACATGAAGGTGACGGGGCTGACGCTGCGAGAGGTGTCGATCACATAGAGCACCACGGTGGGGAACGTGGAGGCCTGCGGGAGACACGGGGGGACACGGGGAGACACGGGGAGGCACGGAGAGACACAGGGATGGACGGGGAGGCACGGGGAGACACAGGGATGGACGGGGAGGCACGGGGAGACACGGGGAGGCACGGGGAGACACAGGGGTGGACGGGCAGACACGGGGAGACACAGGGAGGCACGGACACAGGGATGGACGGGGAGGCACGGGGAGACACGGGGAGACACAGGGATGGACGGGGAGACACGGGGAGACACAGGGATGGACGGGGAGGCACGGGGAGACACAGGGATGGACGGGGAGGCACGGGGAGACACGGGGAGACACGGGGAGACACAGGGGTGGACGGGCAGACACGGGGAGACACGGGGAGACACGGGGAGACACGGGGAGACACGGGAATGGACGGGGAGACACGGGGGTGAACGGGGAGACATGGAGAGACACAGGGGTGGACGGGGAGACATGGAGAGTCAATTATGGAGAGACACAGGGAGACACGGGGAAACACAGGGGTGGACGGGGAGACATGGAGAGTCAATTATGGAGAGACACAGGGAGACAGCGGACACACCAATGCTTGTCCACACGTCAATTTAATTTGTTTGGGTGTGTTGGGTGGTGGAGGAACACAAATTGATCATTACGTGGCCCAATCCAAACATCAATTATAAATTTAGTGAGTAGTGAGTGAATAGTGAGTAGTGAGTGAATAGTGTGTGAGTAGTGAGTGAATAGTGTGTGAGTAGTGTGTGAGTAGTGAGTAGTGAGTGGTGAGTGAATAGTGTGTGAGTGGTGAGTGGATAGAGTGTGAGTAGTGAGTATTGAGTAGTGAGTGAATAGTGTGTGAGTGGTGAGTGGATAGAGTGTGAGTAGTGAGTGAATAGTGAGTAGTGAGTGAATAGTGTGTGAGTAGTGAGTAGTGAGTGAATAGTGTGTGAGTGGTGAGTGGATAGAGTGTGAGTAGTGAGTAGTGAGTGGTGAGTGAATAGTGTGTGAGTATTGAGAAGTGAGTGGATAGTGTGTGTAGTGAGTGGTGAGTAGTGAGTAGTGAGTGGATAGTGTGTGAGTAGTGAGTGGTGAGTAGTGAGTAGTGAGTGAATAGTGAGTGAGTATTGAGTAGTGAGTGGATAGTGTGTGTAGTGAGTGGTGAGTGATGTGTAGTCAGTGAATAGTGTGTGAGTATTGAGTAGTGAGTGGATAGTGTGTGTAGTGAGTGGTGAGTGATGTGTAGTCAGTGAATAGTGTGTGAGTAGTGAGTGGTGAGTAGTGAGTAGTGAGTGAATAGTGTGTGAGTAGTGAGTAGTGAGTGGTGAGTAGTGAGTAGTGAGTGGATAGTGTGTGTAGTGAGTGGTGAGTGATGTGTAGTGAGTGAATAGTATGTGAGTAGTGAGTAGTGAGTGGTGAGTAGTGAGTGGATAGTGTCTGAGTAGTGAGTGGTGAGTAGTGAGTGGATAGTGTGTGAGTAGTGAGTGGTGAGTAGTGAGTGGATAGTGTGTGAGTAGTGAGTGGTGAGTAATGAGTGGTGAGTAGTGAGTAGTGAGTGAATAGTGTGTGAGTAGTGAGTGGTGAGTAGTGAGTAGTGAGTGGATAGTGTGTGAGTAGTGAGTAGTAAGTAGTGAGTGGTGAGTGAATAGTGTGTGAGTATTGAGTAGTGAGTGGATAGAGTGTGTAGTGAGTGGTGAGTGATGTGTAGTGAGTGAATAGTGTGTGAGTAGTGAGTGGTGAGTAGTGAGTGAATAGTGTGTGAGTAGTGAGTGGTGAGTGAATAGTGTGTGAGTAGTGAGTGGATAGTGTGTGTAGTGAGTGGTGAGTAGTGAGTGGATAGTGTGTGTAGTGAGTGGTGAGTGATGTGTAGTGAGTGAATAGTGTGTGAGTAGTGAGTGGTGAGTGTGTGAGTAATGAGTGGTGAGTAGTGAATAGTGAGTGAATAGTGTGTGAGTAGTGAGTGGTGAGTGAATAGTATGTGAGTAGTGAGTGGTGAGTAGTGAGTAGTGAGTGAATAGTGTGTGAGTAGCGAGTGGATAGTGTGTGAGTAGTGAGTGGTGAGTGGTGAATGTGTGAGTAATGAGTGGTGAGTGTGTGAGTAGTGAGTGGTGAGCGAGTGGTGAGGAGCTGAGCCACTCACCAGCGCCTCGGTGATGATGGTCCCTGACGCCGACCAAGTGAACACCTCGATCTGGCCCGGCGTGTCGATCACAACAAACCTGCACACAGCAACACACAAAGGTCCCCCGTGTAGCCTTCACCGACTGCTGGGGCAAGCGCTGTCGGCGAGCACCTACGAAGGCCGACACGGCACGCGAAGGGGCGGGTGGCCAGAACCACGCCCAACCGCCTTTGTCTCCCCGGTGGCGATGTATTTACACATCGCACCAGGTGCTCATTTGAGGCTGAGTTTACCTAGGAGAGGCCTAGCACAGGTTCCACTCGGCTCCACATCCTCCTGTACCACGTCACTCCATCTCTTCTCTAGCCCGTGCCGTGCCCGTTTAGCCCCCTCGATCCGGCCGAACAAAAGCTGTTTGGGCAAGCGGTGATTGGGCATGCGGGCTACATGGCCCTGCCAACGCAGCCTTGCCTGCCGGAGGAGCTCACCGATGGGACTTTGCCCAGATCTTTAAATGATTTGTGAGCTCCTCACACAATCCAGCCTGGTTAAACCCAGGATGGATCGTAGGCAGGCCAGCCTGAATGTTTCTAACCGGCAAAGATGCTCCATTAGGGGGGTCCACGTTTCGCAAGCGTAAAAAAGGGAGGGAATGACTGTGGCCGAGAAGACCTGAAGCTTCGTGCGGAGCGACAGACCAGGCAGCTTCCACACAGCGTTACGCAACCGATGAAAAGATATTGCCGCTCGACTGATTCGGAGTGAGACCTCTGCTGTTAAACTGGAGCCGGTCATGAGCACAATGCCCAGGTATGGGAAACTCTCCACTCTCTCCACAACTGCCCCATCACCGATTGTGAGTTGTGGGGGTGGAGTGTCCGATGGTACAAAATACCCAGGCAGGTGCTTAGTTTTGGTGGGGCTGATGGTAAGGCCCCACCTCTTAGTGGCACGCTCCAGTTTCAGCAGAAGTGTCTCCAACTCCTCCTCTGAATGAGCAGCAATTACCAAATCATCGGCATACATAACGTGGTTGACCAATAGGGAGCCATCCCTTGACCGCACCCGGGCATCGATCAGCCTCCTATTGTATCCGTACCAAATGGAAATTCCCCGGTACATTTATTGAAGGCTTCACGAACTACGTGGTCAAAATAGATATTAAATAATGTGGGAGCCAGAGGACATCCCTGTCGCACCCCAAGGTGTACAGGGAATACCTCCGACTCCCGGCCACGTAGTTTTACCCGGGCCCGCTCACCATCATGAAGGTCCTTAATGATCGTGAGCAGAGGGTCAGGGACTCCGAAAGCACGAAGAACAAACCCAGAGCTCAGGCCTACTGATGGTCTCATAGGCCTTGACCAGGTCAATGAAGCAGAGATGCAGGTCTTGCTGAAATTCCCTATACCTCTGCTGTAGCAGACGGACAGAAAATATAGCATCTATGCAAGACCGCCCATTCCTGAAACATGTGGACAAACACGTACACACACACTCACTTACTCACACACACACGTACTCACATACACACACGTACTCGCAAACACGTACACACACACATACGTACTCACTCACACACGTACTCACACACACACACACGTACACGCGTGCAAACGCACCCCCCCCCACCTCCACAACTCAGACTCCCCCACAGGAAATCGGAGACTTGGGCATCGAACTCCCTCAAAACAACGTCGTGCGGAGCTGCAGGCTGCGCCGAGTTTGGAGAAACAGGTGGAGAGAAGAGGTGGAAAGAGGTGGAGAGAGAGAGGTGGAGAGAAGAGGTGGAGAGAGACAGAGAGGTGGAGAGGAGTGGGCTTACTCTGTCTCGCTGCGTCTCTTGTCAATGAAGGTCATCACCTGCACGAGAAAAGGAGATGCAGAGTCGCAACGGAATGCTGGCAGCCTCACTGACGAGCTCCATCGCAGGGGTATGAACCATCAACTATTTTGTATTTTACCACGTGAGGCCCACTGGGCTACGGAGCTGTATTTAAGGAGCGACCTGGCCATCACAAACGATCGCTCAAGGACGTGGCGGCAGATCATCGTGTGAACATTGACATCGGCCAAATACTGTCAACGCTTGTTTCTAAATGTGGAGGGACAAACCGGAGAACCCGGAAGAAAATCCACGTGGCTACCACAGGGAGAGAGAGAGACACGCAAACTCCAAATATACAGCAGCAGCAGCAGCAGGCGTCAGGGTCGGGATCGAACACACGCCCTCCTGCGTACCAGGCGAGGTAGTTAACATCTCCTAACCACCGTGATGATGATGAGAGAGAGAGACACGCAAACTCCAAATATACAGCAGCAGCAGCAGGCGTCAGGGTCGGGATCGAACCCACGACTTCCTGTAGACCAGGCGAGGTAGTTAACATCTCATAGCCACCGTGATGATGATGAGAGAGAGAGACACGACGTCCTGCGTACCAGGCGAGGTAGTTAACATCTCATAGCCACCGTGATGATGATGAGAGAGACACGACCTCCTGTAGACCAGGCGAGGTAGTTAACATCTCATAGCCACGGTGATGATGATGAGAGAGAGAGACACGACCTCCTGTAGACCAGGCGAGGTAGTTAACATCTCCTAGCCACCGTGATGATGAGAGAGAGAGACACGACCTCCTGTATACCAGGCGAGGTAGTTAACATCTCCTAGCCACCGTGATGATGATGAGAGAGAGAGACACGACTTCCTGTAGACCAGGCGAGGTAGTTAACATCTCCTAGCCACCGTGATGATGATGAGAGAGAGAGACACGACCTCCTGTAGACCAGGCGAGGTAGTTAACATCTCATAGCCCCCGTGATGATGATGAGAGAGAGAGACACGACTTCCTGCGTACCAGGCGAGGTAGTTAACATCTCATAGCCACCGTGATGATGATGAGAGAGAGAGACACGACCTCCTGTAGACCAGGCGAGGTAGTTAACATCTCATAGCCACCGTGATGATGATGAGAGAGACACGACCTCCTGTAGACCAGGCGAGGTAGTTAACATATCCTAGCCACCGTGATGATGATGAGAGAGAGAGACACGACTTCCTGTAGACCAGGCGAGGTAGTTAACATCTCATAGCCACCGTGATGATGATGAGAGAGAGAGACACGACCTCCTGTACACCAGGCGAGGTAGTTAACATCTCATAGCCACCGTGATGATGATGAGAGAGACACGACCTCCTGTAGACCAGGCGAGGTAGTTAACATCTCATAGCCCCCGTGATGATGAGAGAGAGAGACACGACTTCCTGCGTACCAGGCGAGGTAGTTAACATCTCATAGCCACCGTGATGATGATGAGAGAGACACGACCTCCTGTATACCAGGCGAGGTAGTTAACATCTCATAGCCACCGTGATGATGATGAGAGAGAGAGAGACACGACCTCCTGTAGACCAGGCGAGGTAGTTAACATCTCATAGCCCCCGTGATGATGATGAGAGAGAGAGACACGACTTCTTGCGTACCAGGCGAGGTAGTTAACATCTCATAGCCACCGTTGCGCCCCTATCATCCACGGGTTGCCACGTGCAGAATAACTGGGACTCGTAGAATCCCCCGAAGACGTCCCCAACGCGGGGCGAGACCGACGGTTGGCACGGATACGGTTGGCACGGATACGGTTGGCACGGATACGGTTGGCATGGATAAGGTTGCGGTGAATATACGGGGGACGGGGGGCGGCGGTCCCCGACGATACCGGGCACGGGCGAGGTCACGGTGAGCGGCAGTGCTGACGAGCGCTCACCTGGTCGAAGCGCGTTGCAAAGAGGTTGAGAGAGGTGACGATGCCTCCGTTGGGACCCAGACCGTACCTGAGCTCAGGTTAAGGACATAAGTCACAGGTGTGTGGCTGACAACGCCGAGGGTGTGTAACCATACAGAAGGTGAGCGGCCACGCCAGGAGGTCTGTGGCTACACCAGGAGGTCTGTGGCTAGGCCAGGAGGTCTGTGGCTACACCAGGAGGTCTGTGGCTACACCAGGAGGTCTGTGGCTACACCAGGAGGTCTGTGGCTACACCAGGAGGTCTGTGGCTAGGCCAGGAGGTCTGTGGCTATACCAGGAGGTCTGTGGCTACACCAAGAGGTCTGTGGCTACACCAGGAGGTCTGTGGCTAGGCCAGGAGGTCTGTGGCTATACCAGGAGGTCTGTGGCTATACCAGGAGGTGAGTGGCTACACCAGGAGGTGAGTGGCTACACCAGGAGGTCTGTGACTATACCAGCAGGTCTGTGGCTACACCAGGAGGTGAGTGGCTACACCAGGAGGTGAGTGACTACACCAGGAGGTGAGTGACTACACCAGGAGGTGAGTGACTACACCAGGAGGTGAGTGGCTACACCAGGAGGTGAGTGACTACACCAGGAGGTGAGTGACTACACCAGGAGGTGAGTGACTACACCAGGAGGTCTGTGGCTACACCAGGAGGTCTGTGGCTACACCAGGAGGTCTGTGACTACACCACGAGGTCTGTGGCTACACCAGGAGGTGAGTGGCTACACCAGGAGGTGAGTGGCTATACCAGGAGGTGAGTGGCTATACCAGCAGGTGAGTGGCTACACCAGCAGGTGAGTGGCTACACCAGGAGGTCTGTGACTACACCACGAGGTCTGTGGCTACACCAGCAGGTGAGTGGCTATACCAGTTGGTGAGTGGCGACACCAGGAGGTGAGTGGCTATACCAGTTGGTGAGTGGCTACACCAGGAGGTCTGTGGCTACACCAGGAGGTCTGTGGCTACACCACGAGGTCTGTGACTACACCACGAGGTCTGTGGCTACACCAGGAGGTCTGTGACTACACCAGCAGGTGAGTGGCTACACCAGCAGGTGAGTGGCTATACCAGGAGGTCTGTGACTACACCAGGAGGTCTGTGGCTACACCAGGAGGTCTGTGGCTACACCACGAGGTCTGTGACTACACCACGAGGTCTGTGGCTACACCAGGAGGTCTGTGACTACACCAGCAGGTGAGTGGCTACACCAGCAGGTGAGTGGCTATACCAGGAGGTCTGTGACTACACCAGGAGGTCTGTGACTACACCACGAGGTCTGTGACTACACCAGCAGGTGAGTGGCTAGACCAGGAGGTCTGCGGCTAGGCCAGGAGGTCTGTGGCTACACCAGGAGGTGAGTGGCTACACCAGGAGGTGAGTGGCTACGCCACGAGGTGAGTGGCTACACCAGGAGGTCTGTGACTACACCACGAGGTCTGTGGCTACACCAGGAGGTCTGTGGCTACACCAGGAGGTCTGTGGCTACACCAGGAGGTGAGTGGCTACACCAGGAGGTCTGTGGCTACACAAGGAGGTGAGTGGCTACACCAGGAGGTCTGTGGCTACACCTGGCTACACCAGGAGGTCTGTGGCTACACCAGGAGGTGAGTGGCTACACCAGGAGGTCTATGACTATACCAGCAGGTCTGTGGCTACACCACGAGGTCTGTGGCTATACCAGGAGGTCTGTGGCTACACCAGGAGGTGAGTGGCTACACCAGGAGGTCTGTGGCTACACCAGAGGTCTGTGGCTACACCAGGAGGTGAGTGGCTACACCAGGTCTGTGGCTACACCAGAGGTCTGTGGCTACACCAGGAGGTCTGTGGCTACACCAGGAGGTAAGTGGCTACACCAGGAGGTGATAGCTGTACCAGTACGTGCGAGTTTCACACAGGAAGGATGCTGTTTCATGACCTCCTTGTAGTTCACCGTGTCCCGGATATCTGCGGAAGACAGCGAGCGACATCAGAGCTAGAGCCTTCGTCAGGCTAATCCGTCGGCTCTGGCAGGTTGACGGCGTTACGGCCGCTGTGGACCGAGAGCGACGGCCGTGATCTCACACTCGTGCTGGTCGATGGGACAGACTGTCGCCTGTCGCTGCGACGATGGCAACGCAGTGACAGCCACACCGCCCGGACAGTTTGCAACATCTCATTCGTCCACCATCATCATCATCACCACCACCACTACCATCATTACCATCATCATAGCTGCGTGACTTCACGCTGTGGTGGTGGGAGTGATTGAGATTGTAGTCTAAGTAACCAAGGGCTGAGTGAAGTGCTGCCCCCTGCCGAGTGCTGACGAAGTTCCCCGCGATGAAACGCTTTGCTGGCCAACGCAACACCACCCACGTGGGTGAGCTCCGCGCTAGGCCCACGTGGTGGTGGTGGTGATTTTAATTCCGAACATTCTCGCCATGAACACCATCGCCACCACCCGACAAGACTGACACTTTTTCTCAGATATTGTTGTTATTATTATTAATGTTGTTAATGATATTGTTGTTATTATTGTTGTTATTATTGTTATTAATGTTATTATTGTTATTATTCATGTTGTTAATGTTATTGTTGTTATTATTCACACGTGGCCGATGTACGAATGAGAATCTGCCTTTTGGCGTCCTCTGGTCTAACACCGCTTGAGACGAGGCTCAAAAGAAAGCTGGCTCTGCTGTGGACCAATCAGCTTCAAGGACAATGCATCGTCATCATCATACTATCAGAGTGTGTTTTATGTTTGCATTCTGAACACGAGTATTGTGGTTAATGCAGACATGAGTCCTTGATAAAGGTTTCAGTTTGGTGTTTTTACATCTTGACACGGCTGTTTTGTTGCCAGAAAAAAGGGGAAAACCGCTTCTCATATTTTGGTCCTGGCAAAGGAGGTCCCGTGATGATGATAATCTGTGATGATGATAATCTGTGATGATGATAATCTGTGATGATGATAATCTGTGATGATGATAATCTGTGATGATGATAATCTGACCGATACATCTCACGAGACTGCCATGTTTACCCGAACAGCCTGTTAAAGGCTTTATGGGGGATCATTATATTCATGTGTGTGTACATGTGTGTGTACATGCGTGTGTGCTTGTGTGTGTACATGTGTGTGTACATGCGTGTGTGCTTGTGTGTGTGCGTGCGTGTGTGCATACGTCTGTGCGTGTGTGTGTACATGCGTGTGTGCTTGTGTGTGTGAGTACGTGCGTACATGCGTGTGCGTGTGCTTGCGTACATGCGTGCGTGTGTTTGTGTGTTTGTGTGTGCGTGCGTGCTCGTGTGTGTGTGTGCGTGCTCGTGTGTGTGTGTGCGTTTGTGTGCGTGCGTGTGTGTACGTGTGCTTGTGTGTGTGCGTGCGTGTGTACGTGTGTGTGTGCTTGTGTGTGTGTGTGCGTGCGTGCGTACGTGTGTGTGTGCGCGTGTGTGCGCGTGCGTACGTGTGTGTGCTTGTGTGTATGTGCGTACATGCGTACATGCGTGTGCGCGTGTGTGCTCGTGTGTGTATGTGCTTGTGTGTGTGTGCGTGCGTGTGTGCGCTTGTGTGTGTACGTGTGTGTGTGCTTGTGTGTGTGCTTGTGTGTGTGCGCGTGTGTGTGTGTGTGCGTACGTGCGTGTGTGTGTGTAGGTGCGCGTGTGTGTAGGTGCGCGTGTGTGTGCGCTTGGGTGTGTGCGTGTGTGCGTGCGTGCGCTGTGCTTGTGTGTGTGCGCGTGCGTACGTGTGCTTGTGTGTGTGTGCGTATGTACGTGCGTGTGTACGTGCGTGTGTGTGTACGTGCGTGTGTGTGTGCGTGCGAGCCCTACCGATGTTTGCTGGGAACGGGAGGTCGTATACAGCCGGGTCCAGGTTAATGACGTACGGAGCACGCCTGTGCGTGTGTAGGTACGCAGTCACCCTCTAAAACAACAACAACCACAACAACAACCACGGTGAACACCAGCACCTCAACAAGCACACCAACTCGTGAGCCTGCACCGCGCCACTCACTCCGGCACCTTGTCCACGCACCTCCGATGAGCACGGGTGGCTACGCACGGTGCGAAGGAAGTTCAACGTCACACACAACAACAACGCCGCCACCCCCCACCCCCAATGCCCCAGCGACGCGTCACAATTGAACTTTCAATCGAAATGAATTGATCGGCAATGTGTTTGTGATCACTGAAGGGTTGTTGTCCGCCACTCGACAGCTACCGGACTATATTCGTCAAACATTCATACGCCTACGATGGACAACAACAACAACAGGGCGATGAAAAGTGCGTTGTTGTTGTTGTTGGGGAGCGGTGGTGCAGCGGTTAGCGCGCTCCACTACGAACCTGGAGACCCGAGTTTGATACCACGTTCACGATTATCTGAGCCGGTGCTGGATCCTCCCCTGGGTCTACTCAGCCTCAAATGAGTACCTGGTGCAGTGCGTAAACATCGCTAGCACTGGGGAGACAAAGGCGGCCGGGCGTGGTTGCTCGTGTGCAGTTCCGGCCTTCGTAGGTGCTGCTCGCTAACAGCACTCGCCCCAACAATCTGTTATGGCTACACGGGGGATCTCTGTCACTCGAAAGCTACTGAACATTTAAAGTGCGTCATTGTTGATGATGTTGTTGTTGTTCTGAAAAATGTAAGGAGCAGGAAAGAGAGTAAGACTCGAACTGAGTGATGAGGTGTTCCAGGAAGGTGGGGCCACGAATTGGGCACAAGGCAGAGGAACGTGCAAACGACGAAACGTGCAGTGCATGGATCGTGATCGTGATAACACACTACACTACTATACACTACTCTATACACTACACTACTATACACTACTCTATACACTACACTACTATACACTACTCTATACACTACACTACTATACACTACTCTATACACTACACTACTATACACTACTCTATACACTACACTACTATACACTACTCTACACTACTCTATACACTACTCTACTATACACTACACTACTATACACTACTCTATACACTACACTATACACTACTATACACTACACTATACACTACTATACACTACTCTACTATACACTACTCTATACACTACACTACTATACACTACTCTACACTACTCTATACACTAAACTACTATACACTACACTACTATATACACTACTATACACTACTATACACTACACTACTATACACTACTCTACACTACTCTATACACTACACTACTATACACTACTCTACTATACACTACACTACTATACACTACACTACTCTATACACTACTATACACTACACTATACACTACACTACTATACACTACACTACTATACACTACACTACTATACACTACACTACTATACACTACTCTATACACTACACTACTATACACTACACTACTATACACTACACTACTATACACTACACTACTATACACTACATTACTACACTATACACTACTATACACTACGCCATACACTACTCTATAGACTAAACTACTATACACTACTATACACTACACTACTATACACTACACAATTATACACACATTATTACACACTACACTATATACACTACTATACACTACGCCATACACTACTCCATACACTACACTACTGCACACTACACTACTATACACTACTACACACTACACTACTATACACTACTCTATACACTACACTATACACTACACTACTATACACTACTCTACACTACTCTATACACTACTCTACTATACACTACACTACTATACACTACTCTACACTACTCTATACACTACTCTACTATACACTACACTACTATACACTACTCTATACACTACACTATACACTACTATATACTACACTATACACTACTATACACTACTCTACTATACACTACTATACACTACTCTACACTACTCTATACACTAAACTACTATACACTACACTACTATATACACTACTATACACTACTATACACTACACTACTATACACTACTCTACACTACTCTATACACTACACTACTATACACTACTCTACTATACACTACACTACTATACACTACACTACTCTATACACTACTATACACTACACTATACACTACACTACTATACACTACACTACTATACACTACACTACTATACACTACTCTATACACTACACTACTATACACTACACTACTATACACTACACTACTATACACTACACTACTATACACTACATTACTACACTATACACTACTATACACTACGCCATACACTACTCTATAGACTAAACTACTATACACTACTATACACTACACTACTATACACTACACAATTATACACTACATTACTACACACTACACTATATACACTACTATACACTACGCCATACACTACTCTATAGACTAAACTACTATACACTACTATACACTACACTACTATACACTACACAATTATACACTACATTACTACACACTACACTATATACACTACGCCATACACTACTCCATACACTACACTACTGCACACTACACTACTATACACTACTACACACTACACTACTATACACTACTCTATACACTACACTATACACTACACTACTATACACTACACTACTATACACTTCATTACTACACACTACACTATATACTACACTACTATACACTACGCCATACACTACTCTATACACTACACTACTATAAACTACACAATTATACACTACATTACTACACACTACACTATATACTACACTACTATACACTACGCCATACACTATTCTATACACTACACTATTCTATACACTACACAATTATACACATTACTACACACTACACTATATACTACACTACTATACACTACTCTATACACTACTATACACTACTATATACTACACTACTATACACTACACTATTATACACTACATTACTACACATTACAATATATACTACACTATACACTACACTACTATACACTACACTATTACACACATTACTACACACTACACTATACTACACTACTAAACACTACGCCATACACTACTCTACACACTACACTACTACACACTACTCTATACACTACACTACTCTATACACTACACTACTATACACTACACTACTATACACTACTCTATACACTACACTACTATACACTACATTACCATACACTACACTACTATACACTACACTACTATACACTACTCTATACACTACACTACTATACACTACACTACTACACACTACTACACTACTACACACTACATTACTACACACTACATTATATACAACACTATACACTACACTACTATACGCTACACACATTACGCTATACACTGCGTTATTACACACTACACTATTATTAATAAATAAACAAATATTTAATCGAGGCGCCGTAGCCGGGAATCGAACCGGCGGCTCCGGCGGTTCCCCCACGGCGCGAGCTGCCCGACTCCCTGACGCCCAGCGCCCCTCAGCGCCAACGTTAACACTTTAACACTTTAATAGTTTAATAGTTTACATTTTACATAACACACAGAGAGAGAGAGATCAACTTTACACCGCTCGTGAGCACAAACTTCCCCAGCTGCCAGCCGGTCTCTACCTGCACGAACGTCGTCTTGCCCGAGCCGGCCATGCCCAGCACGATGAGACAGGCGGGGAGCGAGGCCTCCCCTGGCCGCGCAGACCCCTCGGGCGGGGGGCCCTGAGCGGGGAGGCCCCCCTCAGGAGGGGGGGTCCCCTCAGGAGGGGGGCCTCCCCGCTCAGGGCCCCCCTCCTGAGGAGACCCCCCCTCCTGAGGGGACCTCTCCTGAGGGGACCCCCCCTCCTGAGGGCCCCCCTCCTGAGGGGACCTCTCCTGAGGGGACCCCTCCTGAGGGCCCCCCTCCTGAGTGGACCCCCCCTCCTGAGGGCCCCCCTCGGCTCCCGCTTCGTCTCCTGCTGCACCACCGCGTGTCGCCATGTCACGCAGCTCGCTAGAATCGATTCGCGAAGTCGGCGATGCGAACATCACGATTCGATTCCGGTTTTAATTCGATTCAGATATCGGTTTTTCACAAATTAGGAATCGATTACTTTGTTTGGCGGTCCGTTGCCTGCAGGACACAATGGGCGCGAATCGTATCCGTTGACTCCAATTATAAAACCGATTCTATTCGGCAACAAGACTAAACGATTCGTAACCCATGAACTATTCCAATCGATTCTGGACGAGCCACCTGTGTGGCGATAGAGCGATGCAATGGGATCGTGTCCAGGCCGCTGCCTCGGCTGTTGTTACATCGCAGGGGGCAGCGTTGGGGGGGGGGGCGGGGGGGGGCTTCATTCACCAGTAGATCGATAATGGCCGGTGTATTAATTATATCGATTCGATATCATCCACAAATCGATTCTGCATATATACTGAACGATCCCGGAATCGATGTCTGTCCAATGTGGATCTCGAGATGTTGATTCTCTCTCGCGGTGTACAGGAGGTCGTGGGATCTATCCAGACCCTGACGTCATTTGGGGACGTCCATAAATGACGTCACGCACCTAGGGGGGGGGGATGGGGTCAGACATTTGTGACGATGTGTGACGATGCGTGACGAGGGGTTTGAGAAATGTGACGTCACATCAAAATGCGAAACTTTAAATAAATATAGACAACACGTTCTACTTAATTAAATAGACTTTTTAATAAATGTTTTCTCCTACAACATCAGAGTGCAGCGCCACGTTAAATACGCCGCACTACAATGTGACAATAGTTTAAAGCGATTTGAAGCATGTTTTTTGGTTCTTTCGGTAAAGTCACCACGTAGAATGAGAATAAAATAATAAATTGATCAAATAAAATAACACAATAATATTCTCACGACGTTTCGGCCACAACACAAGCGGCCTTCATCAGGTGAAGGGACGAGACTGTCTGGAGGACAGCGCTGGAGTGAAAAAGCCAAGCTCAGACCGTGACCTTTAAGCTGTGTGAGAAGAAACAGAGCGCCTTGACAAAGGAATTAGCATAGAATTTAGCATTGAAATAGCTGAGTGATTAGCTTGTGACTGGTCACAGAAATGGCTATGTTAAAGTTAAAGCATACACATCCGCAGAGGCACCCCTTGACAAAGGAATTAGCATAGAATTTAGCATTGAAATAGCTAAGTTAAAGCATACACATCCGCAAAGGCACCCCTTGACAAAGGAATTAGCATAGAATTTAGCATTGAAATAGCTGAGTGATTAGCTTGTAACTGGTCACAGAAATAGCTATGTTAAAGTTAAAGCCTACACATCCACAAAGGCACCTAGTACAAATCAAAGAGGAGAATTTAGCATTGAAATAACTAGGAGAATTTAGCATTGAAATAACTGAGTGATTAGCTTGTGACTGGTCACAGAAATAGCTATGTTAAAGTCAGAGCATACACATTCACAGAGGCACCTAGTACAAATCAAACAGAATTTAGCATGGAAATAACTGAGTGATTAGCTTGTGACTGGTCACAGAAATGGCTATGTTGAAGTCAAAGCCTACACATTCACAGAGGCACCTAGTACAAATCAAACAAGAGAATTTAGCATTGAAATAATTGAGGGATTAGCTTGTGACTGGTCACAGAAATGGCTGTGTTGAAGTCAAAGCCTACACATTCTCATTCTACGTGGTGACTTTACCGAAAGAACCAAAGAAGATGAATCCTTGCAGTCACGAAAGCTTTAAATCGATTTGAAGCAAGTTTTATTTTTTTTGGGGGGGGGGGGCAGAGCTTTGTGACGTCATATTTCAGGGGGCGGTGTCTCACTTTTCGTGACGCCACGTCGCGTGACGTCATTCATGGACAGAAGTTCACCACGCACGCACACGCAACAGCGTCAGCCTTGAGCCATCGCTCGCGAACTCACCCAGATGTTGACCCAGGGAATCCGAGCGGACTCGGTAACAATTCGCATCGATCAGCGATCCACAATCACCGCGTGCGGGCAGCCACACCGCTGCCCCGTGATTGTGTCTCGTGTCCGCTTCAAGAACCAGCGCCTCCTCCCCACCCACCCCCCCCACCCACCCCCCACCATTCCTCCTCGGTGTCAAACTTTCGCAGAAAAAAATGAAATCTACGTTGGAGCTTTCGACGAGCATCAGCCAAATACTCCTAAACAAAACACACACAAAGGAACCCACAATTTAAAACGAGACTGTGAACTTCTCACGAATTTAAAGCTTTCGTGACTGCTAGGATCCATACTCTTTGGTTCTATTGGGTAAAGTCACGTAGGTGAAAATAAAATAACAAAAAAATTAACAAAAAATCACGACGTTTCGGTCACAACACAAGCGGCCTTCATCAGGTGAAGGGACGAGAGAGAGAGACACGACCTCCTGTATACCAGGCGAGATAGCGCTGTCCTCCTGACAGTCTCGTCCCTTCACCTGATAAAGGCCGCTTGTGTTGTGGCCGAAACGTCGTGATTTTTTGTTAATTTGTTTGTTATTTTATTTTCACCTACGTGACTTTACCCAATATAACCAACGAGTAGAGACTGTGAACTGTTACTGATTTACCAGCTGAGGCACAATGTCGATGTGTTGCGGAAGCGGCTTGACCGTCACAAACGATCAGCTCAACCACGTGGCCCGTCATCATCATCATCGCCTGGTGGGGATTTATAGCAGCAGACAAATTCCTCCAAAACGCGGCGTGGTGGTGATGTTGATGGGGAGAGAGAGAGACACGCCAACTCCAAATATACAGCAGGCGACCTCCTGTACACCAGGCGAGGTAGTGAACATCTCCTAGCCACCGTGATGATGATGAGAGAGAGAGACATGCAAACTCCAAATATACAGCAGGCGACTACCTGTACACCAGGCGAGGTAGTTAACATCTCCTAGACACCGTGATGATGATGAGAGACACGCAAACTCCACATATACAACAGGCGACCACCTGTATACCAGGCGAGGTAGTTAACATCTCCTAGCCACCGTGATGATGATGAGAGACAGAGAGACACGCAAACTCCAAATATACAGCAGGCGACCACCTGTACACCAGGCGAGGTAGTGAACATCTCCTAGCCACCGTGATGACGATGAGAGAGAGACACAACCTCCTGTACACCAGGCGAGGTAGTGAACATCTCCTAGCCACCGTGATGACGATGAGAGAGAGACACGACCTCCTGTACACCAGGCGAGATAGTGAACATCTCATAGCCACCGTGATGATGATCATGAGAGAGAGACACGACCTCCTGTACACCAGGCGAGGTAGTTAACATCTCATAGCCACCGCGGCATCTCCATGTGTGCCTCCAGTCCGTGCATGGGGTGGAATATGACACTCGGCCGGCTCCATGGAAAACAACAACAACAACAGAGCTGATCCCTCTAGAGGTAGCTAGGGCTGATCCTGCTCACAGTAGCTAGGGCTGATCCTGCTCACAGTAGCTAGGGCTGATCCTGCTAGAGGTAGCTAGGGTGATCCTGCTAGAGGTAGCTAGGGCTGATCCTGCTCACAGTAGCTAGGGCTGATCCTGCTAGAGGTAGCCTGCTGATCCTGCTAGAGGTAGCCAGGGTGATCCTGCTAGAGGTGGCCAGGGCTGATCCTGCTCACAGTAGCTAGGGCTGATCCTGCTCAAAGTGGCCAGGGCTGATCCTGCTCAAAGTGGCCAGGGCTGATCCAGCTAGAGGTAGCCAGGGCTGATCCTGCTAGAGGTGGCCAGGGCTGATCCTGCTCACAGTAACCAGGGCTGATCCTGCTCACAGTAACCAGGGCTGATCCTACTAGAGGTAGCCAGGGCTGATCCTGCTCACAGTAGCTAGGGCTGATCCTGCTAGAGGTAGCTAGGACTGATCCTACTCAAGGTAGCCAGGGCTGATCCTACTAGAGGTAGTCAGGGCTGATCCTGCTCACAATGGCCAGGGCTGATCCTACTAGAGATAGCTAGGGCTGATCCTGCTCACAGTAGCCAGGGCTGATCCTGCTAGAGGTAGCTAGGGCTGATCCTACTAGAGGTAGCCAGGGCTGATCCTGCTCAAAGTGGCCAGAGCTAATCCTGCTAGAGGTAGCCAGGGGTGATCCTGCTAGAGGTAGCCAGGGCTGATCCTGCTCAAAGTAGCTAGGACTCATCCTGTACACCATGCAACAATTATAAAAATACACTTTTGGTTTTGTTTTTGGGGGGGAGGGGAGCTCAATAATGCATTTATTTTTTGCACGGCAAGTGAGCTGTGACGTCAAATCTGTCACGTGACCCGCGCATGTGGAAGCGTAACGCATTGTAGTGTAGAGGTTAGCGCGCTGTCTGTGTGTGTCTGTGTGTGTATACGTGGGTGCGTGTATCTGTGTGTGTGTATCTGGGTGTGTGTGTATCTGTGTGTGTATCTGGGTGTGTGTGTATCTGTGTGTATGTTGGGGGGGGGGGGGGGAGCAGTAGTGTAGCTGTTAGCGCTACGCTACACATTGAGACCCATAGACTCACTCAGATATCTATAGTCACACTGAGACCCATAGACTCACTCAGACATCTATAGAGTCACACTGAGACTCATAGACTCACTCAGATATCTATAGAGTCACACTGAGACTCATAGACTCACTCAGATATCTATAGAGTCACACTGAGACCCATAGACTCACTCAGATATCTATAGACTCAGAGACCCATAGACTCACTCAGATATCTATAGAGTCACACTGAGACCCATAGACTCACTCAGATATCTATAGAGTCACACTGAGACCCATAGACTCGTACATCGACC